TCGTCAGACGGCGGCTCTGTCGCGTCGACTCCGCTGTCGTTGTCATCGCCGCGCTTGCGCTTCGTGCTGCCGGTTGGACTTGCGCCGGGCGCGAATCTGGCTGGTCGCTTGGATACGCGTCCGGATTTGCGTCGCGCGCCCGACGATGCGACTTGATCAGTCCCCGAGGGTGATTCGGTCGCGCTCATGTTTTTTGCGCGCGATTGGCTCGTTGATGATTGTCGAGGTGGAGGTGGAAGTGCGCGGCGCGATCGGTACAGTTGAGGCGGGGACGGTGATGGGAGACGCGTTGTATGTCCGAGCACTTTTAGTGCAAGGTTGCGCGCACGTGCGTCTGACACTACGCCATCGACGTGTCGCCTTAACGCTCCGTCACATCTGGTTGCACTTGTTGCCGCCCCTTTGTCAGTCAAATGTGAGATTCCCAGATGCATGTGCTTCACTTGGCAGGGCAACGCTCTCGGTACGGGCAACCATCTGTTGCCTTGTCGGACGAGGTCGATTGGTCTATTATATACAGTGCTCATAAGGAAAATGTCAGTCTACAATTATTAACAACCGTTCAGGCAACAGCCTTGACCGGCTCGCCTTCTTTGATGTCCAGCTTCTCAACACCCTCAACAAGCTCTGTCCCCCCGTTGGACACGGTAGCGGTATTCTCGGCTGCTGCGGGCACTGCAGCCTCGCCCGCAGTCTTCTCTGCCGTCGCACTTCCAAGACTAGGCTCGTCTCCTCCCCACAGGTAGATCTCGCTCTCTCCTATGATCTTGCCAGCCTTCTCCCATCGCTCTTTCCTCTGTTGTCTCCGCTCCGTGGAGATCTTCTCAAGCGCAGGCCAGTAGACGGAATGGTCGTACTTGAAGTCGACTTCACCGCCAGAGACTTTCATGAGCTGTGATGTGGGCACGTGGTTGGGTAGGGGCTCGTTCGACTTGATCTTAGACTTGGTGACGGGGTCGATAAAGGGGTTGATGAGCTTGAGGAAGGCATTGACATACCATGGGACTATTCGTGATGTCAGTAGTGCATGCGTGGGGCATTGGAGTGGTCCTTACGGTGTGTGAGCAATGCCCTACCAAGTCGCTCGGGGTAGTGGTTCTGCAAGATGTCAAGGACCTGTTTGGCGATGCCCATGCTAGGGGTACCACCAGCTCCCGTGTTCCTGAAGTCGATCAACAGTGCCAGACTTTCCTGGCCAGGCGGGTGCAAGTCTATGGTGCGCTCCAGCATGTAGACCAAGTGCTCTACCCGCTTGGGTGTCTCCTTGGTGTTCTGGTTCTGCGGCAGCAGGTACAGACACGGCCTTCCCTCGTTGTCGAAACCAAGCAAGACCTGCTTGCCGGTTTCGTTCTCCTCTGAGATGTACTCGGCAGTGAAGCGGTCGGTGCCGTACTCACGACGCCATACCAGCGTCGAGCGCAGGCGCTGTATCGCTTGGGGAAGGTTCCACTTGGTGGCACGCAGGTATCGGAGGAGGCATTCGCGAGTGAGCCACATGCGCTCATCGTCGCTGATTGGTGAGGTTTCGGCAGTCTTTGCAGAGGTGGTGGGCAGTGTTTCCCATGTGCGGACATCGGCGAGAAGCTCTTCGTATTTGGTTTGCTGCTCGGCGGTCAAGGCAGGGGCAGCGGCGGGCTTGCAGCCGGGTGCAGGCTCCGCAAAGGGGCCAATTGCAGACATTATGTTCAGTGTGTAGATGATCTGCCCAAGTTGGTCTCGTCTACCGTTCTTGTTCAAGTATCTTAGGTGAAGTCCTTGTTGCCGTGTTGGCGTTGGTGTCAGCCTTGGGCAACTTTTTGGGAAAGCATGGCGGTCCCTGCATGCACGTCGATCGCCCTAGGCCGCCTCCATGCTAGCCCCACCGACACGCGCGACGCGTCTTCGGAGTTCGCACGCGCAAAGTGCTCTCCCGGCCATCACCCAGAATACTCACAGTCACACACAACATGGACGACCTTACGACCGAACTCACCGAGCGCTTCGAGCGCTACTGCGACACCAAGGATGACCAATTCCCCGCCGATGTCCTCGCTGAACTGCAGTCCATGTCACGGCTGTATTCTATCTCGCCCGAGGAGCTGGATTTCAAATGGCAGGCCTACAACATGAAGATGGGCGGAGAAGAGAGCAAGATGGACGTCAAGACGGCACGAGACTTCAAAAAGACGATACAAGATGCATTGGAGCGCGAGAGCAGAGGGAAGGCCCAGCAGAGAAACGAAGTCAAGCGGGGCCAGCCAACACCACGAGCAAAGGGTGGGGACATGTATGACATGTATGTTTAAACAGTGGAAAGACATCTAGAACATTGTCATTGACTGGACGCAGACTAGAAGGACTCGTGCCGGGTACCCCACGTCAAAGCACAACGAACGGCGCCAATGGCAGTACAGTAAAGCGCAAAGCCAACTTCCAGACACCGGGAGGCAAGGCCACCAAGGCTCACGAGATGAGTTCGCCCGGAGGATTCATGACACCGAAGGCTGAAGCCCCAGGTGGTCCGTATGTATACTGGGTGCACACCGCAGACATGCTCTAACGTCCACTCAGTATCTTTGACTTCGCTTCCCGAACGAACGCAAACGACATCACCGAACAATTCATGCAAAGCGAAATTGCCATCCCGGAGCCGCCATCAGAAGAACCGAAAGAACCTCGCATTAAACTCAAGGCGAATACGGACATGTCCAAGTTCTCGTACCGCACCATGGCCATGAAGCTCTCTGAAGCGTCTGAAGTCTTGGATGATCGGATTGACGAGTTCCGTGACCTACTCAGGGACACAACGGGTCTGGACGAAAGCGCCTTCGGCAACCCCAATTACCCGTCACCGAGTGAGATCATCGCAGTCGGAAGAATTGCAAGCGACACAAGCGAAGGCAAACTCAACACGGCATCACTTGTCCTTGAAGGCTCGCGAAGACATGGCTCAGGCCGACGTGTACCGCTGAACATAGAAGGGCTATCGTCGTATGATTTCTTTCCCGGCCAGATTGTTGCTCTGCGTGGTACCAACGCTTCGGGTGACTCGTTCGTAGTGTCGGAAGTCCTGTCACTTCCTCTGCTGAATCCGCCTGCTACAAGACCCGAAGAATTGGATGCCATCAACGCGAGATATCTCGACACGCCCGATTCTGATCCGGAGAATGTCCGACCTCTCACCATCATGATTGCGTCCGGACCTTACACGACCGATCAGAATCTCGACTTTGCCCCATTACACACCTTCCTTGAAAATGCTGCTGAAGCATACGCGGACTCTATCATTCTAGTGGGCCCATTCCTCGATGCAGAACATCCTCAAATTCGGTCAGGAGACTTCGATGCTCCGCCAAATGTAAGCCCAGATCAGGGTACCATGACTGATCTGTTCAGACACCATGTCTCGAGCGCCATCCAAAGCTTCAACAAACGCGTACCAACATGTAATGTTCTTCTGGTCCCCAGCTTACGAGACGCGCATCACCACCATGCTGCGTTTCCGCAGGATAAGTTCATCAAAAAAGAGCTTAGCCTGGGCGCTGCAGGAAAGATGGTCCAATGCGTGACCAACCCAATGACTGTCAGCATGAATGAAATGACCGTGGGCATGTCGTCGATCGATATCTTGGATATGCTACGTAGGGAAGAGCTGGCAGGCGGCAAGGCACGAAGTACGAATATCTATGAACGCTGCGCTCGAAACGTCCTCGAGCAGCGGAGTTTCCTGCCAATTTTCCCGCCAACTGGAAGAGAAAAGCAGCAATTCATGCCCGCGCCAATCGAGGAGAAGGTCATGAAGAATGAGGCAGGGAACAGTGAGCGGAAAGAGGGTGAAGAGCTGGAAGAGGAACAGTTACCCAGCCCTTTTCTTCCTTTGGGCACCATGCTCGATACGAGCTATCTCAAATTGGGCGAAATGCTGAATGTACGGCCTGACATACTCATAACTCCCAGCGTGCTTCAAGGCACAGTCAAGGTATGCTAAGATGGCTCGCCCACTAGAGAGCGATATGCTAACCCTGACCAGGTCGTGGAGTCTGTACTGGTCGTCAACCCTGGCACTTTAGCTAAACGGCGCGCGGCAGGGACGTATGCCCGCGTCATAATACAACCAGCTGTCGTCAGTGACGCAGAAAGGGAGAAAGGGGTTGCAGTCGCGCACAAGCTTTGGGAACGGACGCGCGTTGACATTGTGAAGATATAGGCGTTGGATGCTGTCATAGTTATACCCTGGAATTGAGCATCAAAGATCAGCTCAGCGTGTGGTGTTCGTGATGATCATGTAGGAGGCAGTCACGTACACTGGCTGTATACTAGGACATAATTAAAGAAGAGACTAAGCTGGTGCGCTGCAGTCAGTCTACTTTAGTATGAAACTTAACAGGAACAAGTCCCAAGGTCATGTCGGCTTCTACCATACTGTCTTCTATTGTCCTCTAGTGCGTGATTAGCATTTTCCTTGGACAGGTCGCACTTGTACTTGATCTGATCGCGGAAGTTGGGATGGTAGGTGCAAAGTTACCGTGGAGAAGTGCATGTTTGCCCTAGGCAGACGGAGGACACCTGATGCCGCGTCACTTTTGCGACGCGACTAGTAGGTCGACAAACCGATGTTACTCCATGTCACTTCGTCGCGCCTCCTCCGCGCATGCACTCCTGAACTTGGTTGGACCCGCACCTTAACCAAAGGTCACCATAGATTTTCTGCATTGCACATTCACTGCGAGCATTTTGCCCGCGCCTGTATTAGGAAGGCACTAGCTACCCGCGCACGTCAGCAATATTTACCAGTGAGAGCAAGCGGACTGGTGATGGTCTTTTGCGACCTGCTCCGTCGGTTTCTTTGCTGTAGCAGCAAGCGCACAGGTATTAAGGAGACGCACGAGCTTCCTCGTCGACCAGAGCAAAGTTCGCCTGTCCCCAGCATCCCAAGTCACAGTCCTCCACACCACGCTGTCTCGCCTCAACGTCCACGCGACTCCCTCGACGGTACTCAAGAAGACGACTCCGCATCCTCCATGCCACCCAAGCGCAAAAACACAGACAACGCCGCCGCTATGGACCGTCCAGAAAAGAAGACCAAGGCTCCCAAGAAAGGAGCAAAGGCAGCCCCCGAAGGTAAGTGGACGGTTTCCTCCTTTCATTCATGATTATCCGGCATTGGTTTGGCGGCGATGCATGTCAAGCTCGAAAGATGCAAGGCTAGCTTGTCGCCGCGGCCTTAATTCCGGGGCTTGGGTGCACGAGCAAGGGTTGAGTCGACTCGGCGGGGTCGGCCCTACAATTGCTGCCTCGTCGGTGCGTCACAGCTCGCCCAAGTATCGCCAACTCTGTCTATTGTCCACCACGGTTCGGCAACCAAGACGCGCACCCAATCTGTGAATTCACTTTGCGCGATTCTTTGTCTCTCAACACTGCACCCATTCTCTATTACCAAATTCTGCGCACCGGCTTGCGCCCTCCACCCCTCCACCCCGCCGCTTTCTCACATCGAGCTCGCAATCAATAGCTGGAGTTCGATACAAGGCGCTAATACAATATGCCTACAGTATACACTGCTCAGCAGAAAGCTGCAATCCAGCAGTTCATCAGCTTCACTCAACTTGACAAGTCCACCGCGGTCAGGGCACTCAAAAGCCATGGCTGGGATGCACAGAACGCCGTGAACGCGTAAGTACAGCTTTTCCTTTGTTTTTCATATATACAGTACACATTTGTTGCATGCTTGTTATATCTATGGGCGCATCGCGCCATCCAGACGAATCGACCGACCGACCGACCGACCCACCAACCAACCGACCAGCACCTAGACACAGGACGAAGCGGATACACATCTGGGAAGGGGCAACGCAATATCTCTTGGGACTGTGGTAGTACCATGTCACAGACAAAGAAGCAGGAGGGCTCGGGTCGCGCAAGAAGCTGCAAGTCATGGTGACAGATCGAGTTCAAAGCAGCTGCGGTCTGCGGGCACATGCAGCTGTGACTTCCAAGAACACAACGCCATTGTAAAGCTCCTGCTCCTGCAGTCCAAAACGGTCTTACTTCGTCTCCTCCGAAACGCTGGCACAATAGCACGCTTTCTCCTGCGGCATTTCCTCACCCACAACAAAGCCCTTGACAAGCCTCCTCGGTGCAGTCGTCCAAACACACGCCACATCCACTCGCCAGGTCAGCTCAGTCGTGCGCTATCTCCATAGCTCGTCATGTTCGGGTCCTCACAGGATAGGGCCAGGCAGCTAGCCGGGCGTAATAGACGAGAGCGCATCAGTTCCATCAGCTCATGCTCTAGCTCTCGATCTATGAGCCTTTCAAGTCGAACTTCTCATCTGAGGGATATCCAACCCGCTCAAGTACACGCAGTCAGCACAATCAACACCGTCGACGACGAACGCCTCTCTTCTGGCAACACCGCTACTTCCTCCGATTCCACCGCGTCCAGTATCGAGACCTACACAGTCAAGGGAGCTTTCCAACCGCGTTCCGTACCACACCTGGTGGAGGGTCTGGACTGTTTACAAACGGAGCAACATCGAGTTCAAGCGGAACATCTAAGCCGCGTGCTACACAGCAGTCTCAGTCTTACCAACGTTACCAACGCACCCGAAAGTCAATTCGCACTAGCCCGTCATGTTCGATACAGCAGTCTGGGAACAGACTCGGTCATTCTACAACATCCGCGCAGTATCACGGCCCCCCTTCCAACTACATCCTTGCCGCAGACTACACTTGAGGACTTACTGGAGCTCTTGCACACCACTACTGTGCCTCCACTCCGCACTTCCGTCTCTGATCATCACCTAGGATCAGAACCGACTGTGTCGTTGCGCGGTGGTTCTGGCATCGACGTTGACTCTGAGAGCCACAGCAACGACTACAGCGAGCGTGACATCTCAGGAAGACGCAGTCCCCAAGTTTCAGACACTGCGGGACGAGCTGCGTTCAGGGCTTTCGAGATCCATCTTTTCAAATGCGTGGGTCCCATGGACCATGCTTCATATGTGCAGTCCTGCCAACAAGAGACTCGTCGGTACAAGTCCCTGGGGATACCCCAAATGTGGCCGAGAATCGAACAGGCCTATTTGCCCATAACCGTGGGCGTACACTACAACATGTTTCTCCAACGACTATCACCTCCAACTCGGATTCTATTCGCCAAGCTCTTCGGCCTTCTCCCCTTGGGCCATCACACAAAGGTCTCGGATAACTTTTCCAACCAATTGAAACTTGGGCGTCTGGCATTCTTCCATCGTTTGGGACCTGATGGCAGGGCCGAATTCTGCAACATCATTATCGAAAGAATGAATTTGGTGACAGGCGCTGAGGAACTGCCCGTGCTGAGCGATGCCACGTCGTCGCCCATCGACACAGTGCATCTGTTCGTTACTGCGAAACTGTTCGTGCATCTCAATCCTCCCATATCACTGAAGAATTATCAGTATCGCGTGTATCTTTACGATGTGCCTGGATTACAAGTCACTAACGACGAGCTTTTCGTATACAACTGCCAACTGGCAACTCATTAAATACATTGACAAAGGCTGACAAGTCACGCAGTTACTACAGCACCAGCAACAGCGGCGGTTCCCAAGGCTCATCTGCGATGAAGACCAATCTCAACAAGCTGTTCGATCGGTACCAAGAGGCTGGAGCACCAGACAAAGACATCGTCGGAGTAGAGGGCACGATGCGGTATTTCGACGATACTGGCGTCGATGCCGAGGGTCTAGATGCGTTGGCGGCTCTTGAAATCGTCCAGGCTCCTACCATGGGCGAGATGAGCCGCGATGGCTTCGTCAAGGGTTGGATGGAGCGCCAGTAAGTGCCAACATTTTCCAGATTGTCTTCGAGGTCGTTTAGAAACTAACCCAAATGTAGCTGCGATACCATCGACAGGCAGAAGTCGTATCTCAAGATTCTCAAGAGCGAGCTCTCGGGCAACAAAGACGTCTTCACCCGGGTGTACAAGTACACATTCACCATCGCCAAGACTGCGGACCAGAGGGCTGTTCCACTCGAGATGGCCACCGTGTACTGGGAGTTGCTCTTCAGTTCGCCCTTGTCTGCTGTTCAGTGGTCAAGTCCCAACACTCCATGGCTTACTTGGTGGACTGAGTTCCTCAATACCTCGTGGAAGAAGAGCGTCAACAAGGACATGTGGAACGAGACACTCAAGTTCGCGCAACTCTCGCTGGAAGATGAGACTATGGGCTTCTGGAACGAGGAGTCTTCATGGCCATCTGTCATCGACGACTTTGTCGAGTTCGTCAAGAAGGAGAAGCGGGGTGACACCGGGGAGCAGCCGATGGACGAAGACTACTATTGATCTGGGTCAAGACGGTCTATGAAACTAGCGGGGAGTTATGGTAGAGGATATGCTTTGCTGCTATAGCAGCTGCCGGCGTTTTGCTCATCAGAAGGCGGGTTTACTTGATGCATATTACGAGATTCACGGGAGCATTCCATACCATGGCCAGGTTTACAGCACTTTGAGCATCTTCTAGAAATAGTCTAGCTCAGCATGATACATTACCGTGCGCCATCTATTTTGTTTCGTTTGTGCTGGGTGATTACACACTGGAACAAGTGACCGTCGACAGCAGCGCAGAGCAGGCGAAGAAACAAGATGCCGATAAGTATAAGATGCGCGCAGGTCGTGCAGTCGGGTCCAAAGATATTTGCATTGCTGCCACGGATTACATGACCATTGTTTGTCCGTTGTTGTTCGGCGAGGAAGGTTGGTGGTGGTCGCTGCGCTCTTGGTGTGGCTAGGGCCAGCGTAAGCGAGGTGCCACTAGCGTGTCCACTGAGCTGCGGCGCCTTCGCAAAATCCATCAACGCCAACTTTTGACGACACCACATCGACAACTAACCACACAGCAGTCAAAGTGCGTATACCGAGGCGGACTGCTGTTACTGTACTGACGATATCGCAGATGGTCGCCGCTAAGAAGCATGTCCCGATCGTCAAGAAGCGTACGCCGAATCTGCCTCCATGACCTCGAAAACTCGCGACTGACGTATTCGTTTACAGACCGCAAGCGCTTCAACCGCCACCAGTCGGACCGCTTTATGTGTAAGAGACACCGGAGCTGGGAGTGAAGGAATTGGCATCTGACACTGGACAGGCGTCGACCCCTCATGGCGCAAGCCTAAGGGTATCGACAACCGCGTCCGCAGGCGGTTCAAGGGCCAGGCTGCTATGCCCAAGGTACGGACTACCAACTACCCGGATGGAGGAATGATCTTGTCACCAAGAGGACACCGAGCGAACACGGAATGCTTGATGGACCAGGGCTGACGGAACGCCTCACAGATCGGATACGGCTCCAACAGGAAGACCCGCCACATGATGCCCAGCGGCCACAAGGCCTTCGTCGTCAACAACGGTATGCTACCTATCGAGTTCGACACCACCCCAGGATCCCGCTAACGGATGCAGTCTCCGATGTTGACCTCCTCCTCATGCACAACCAGACCTTCGCCGCAGAGTACGTTCGCCAGCTTCCGTTCCACCATCCCACATACTAATGAATCCTTCAGGATCGCCCACGCTGTATCAGCACGAAAGCGCATCGAAATCATCGCCAGGGCGAAGCAGATCGGTGTCAAGGTTACCAACGGCAAGGCCCGCGTCAAGACCGAGTCGTAGATGGGTGCGGATTTTCACTTTGGGGCGGGGCATACAAGGCGTCTCTCTGATTAGTTACGATCTCAATGGGAAGGCTTTTCATCCTCTTCGGCTCACGGTACCCTTCGATACGGTATGGGGAGAGGCATGCACTTCAAAAAGCATTGCGACATGTTACTGCGGAATGACCAAAGATATCAAGGGACAGGAGCAGTAGGAATGCAATGAAAAAACGAGCCAAATCAGGATCTCCTCGATGACGTAGGATGTGATGCTTTTTGATGTTAGACTAACTGCAGAGCCGCTTTGATTTCGCAACCCCAACTGCCGGCCGCGCAGAACAAACGTGTATGTTGCGGTATCGTCCGTAGGGTGCCTTGGATGCTGCATGTACTCTGCGCCAAGCATCGAATGCGCATCAATCAGGCTGATCTTCTTCACATGCCACAGATCAGGTCATTGCTATCGAGATCACGACTAGAGCTTGCGGTAAAATATGCCGCGCCGGTTGTTGTTCACTCTTGCGAGCTGTTCTCCTTTCAGCTAATGGTACTGCATCCACGATGTTGCAATGGGTTGCAATTTTCAGCTAGACTTTTATCGCAGAAGCCTTCGACCAACGACGAGTATACTTTGATGTCGATTTCGCTTTCATGTCATCGACAAGCAACATCGAACCTGCATGCTAGCACTATGCAGATGCCTGTTGGATGAAATACTACCGGTTATTTTGGTCAATTGCTTGAGCTGCCTAAGCATCAACATGGCTGACGGGCATGTTTCCGGATGCGCACACCAACTCAGCGCGTCGCCTGCTCGGAAGATGCGCAGCCGCAAGCCATGTCCACTCCTCAACCTACTCACCGCCATCAGATTGATGAGTGAACTCGACGCACATTGATAAGGAGTCTGATAGTAAAGCCGTATGACCAGCCGTACGAGTCACAAAGGGGCAGCGCAAGAGCCATGGTTGCTTCTTGGCGCCGTCGCACGTACGCTGGGTGCAGCCGCGTAGAAGCAAGTGAGGCGCCGCGTGGGCTCAAAGGAAGGCCGGTATTTGTCGCGTGGCAGAGGGCGTCGTAGGCAGGGTTTTGGCTGTCTATTTGCTTGTCTGGCATGGGTGTGGAGATGGAATGTTTCACGACGTTGGAGAATCGGAGCGAATGTTGCAAGTACGGGGAAGGCGATCTGAGGAAGGTTGAATTGCGCAGGCTGGCGCTTACTCTGCTTTGACGCACGCATCAGATTGTCGAAACATGCAAGCTGCTTAGAAGAATGCTCTTTGTTGCTTCAGGCGATCCGGGGCTCCGAGTCCGTTGTTTTGTCATGGTTCCTGGTGCTGGTGCTGGTTCCATCGACGGCGGACATGTTGAGCGCCTCGCTACCGGCTGCGCTTACGGAAGTTCCGCGCACGATCTAGCAACGCCTGTCGGTCCACTCAGTCCCTTTCGCATCCGCACACCTCAACCCAGCATCACACCGCTCTGAAGCTGCCCTCAGTCTGTGCCTGCCCTTGCAATTTCACACTCCCAGGCGACTGCTGGACAATCGACCTGGCTGCGTCGCGTTATCTGGCATTATCTGTCCACGCGTGGCTGGCACCCCAGGTGATTGGCCCAGGGCGGCACTCTATCAACGCATGTGGGTTGCTGCGAGGGAGGCACGAATGCGGAGCCTGGCATGCCACCACGACAATCAGCGGATCCGTGGGCGCGCGACAGGAAAGAACCGGGAACGTGTACCGCTGAGAAGAGCTGATTGAGGCAGTGTGTCATGACGAATTTCTGATGAGGCCCGTTTTACTGAGGGTCCGATACGCTCGGGGGCGACGTGCGAGGACTCGGTGCTCACGTTGGCATTGGCCTTAGATGTCTGACTATTGCTCCCCGGTACATGGTCCACACTTGTACCCACGGTAGGTCGAAGCGCATCCCAATTTCCTTCCGTCAGCCTGGGAAAGATTTTCAGACCCAGCACTAAATTAGCTCCCGTCTTTTAAATATTTCGACACCCCAGCGTCTTTGTTTCGAGATTCCTCCTTTCACGCGCACTCAGTGAACCACGCTCGTCGAAGGCTTGCCTCGCTCCTCATAGCGACACAGTCGTGCACCTGCACGCAGTGACCGGCGGTCTTCGGCTAGTCACATTCACAACACACTCCTGAAGTACCGGATTTCCATACCTCGTCTCCCAACTCGCTTCTGTTCAAGCGGAACCTCGCAGCATCGAACGTTGCCACTGACGATCACGACCACGTGCTTTACCCGACGGCAGACTTTGCTTCAAGAACTTTCCGGAGTACTTGCCACCCCCGGAATCTCAGACCCACCACCACTGCCGACTGTCCCCGGAGGACATCACCGACAGTGACCAGAGGAATTTATTCAAACATTTCAAAACCATCGACATGGCGCCCAACCTCTTCATAGCCACTCAAAAGGCCTTTGCGCCCCACAAGTGGTTCAAGTCGAACAAGCCAGAACAGTCATCCAAGGTCGTTGAAGAGTGGACCAGCCCAGTACCCGGCCAGTACGAGAGTATCCCCGGACGAGGCTGGTTCCTGATCGCAACTCTCAAGGACGACTCCAAGCCAGAAGGCCACCCCAGTTCATACATCAAGTCATCAACTGGCAGAGTGTACGTTCCCCTGGACCGTCCTGTTCCCCTGAAATACTCCCATGCCATTGGTCGTTATTTCCTAGAGCCCGAGTTCAACAAGCGCAAGAAGACTGTCATGATTAAGAACGACAAAGGCAAAGAAGTACAAGCCGGCTTCTTCCGGGTCGACGACGTGGCTTGGGTCAAGTGCTGGGACGAACACGACACCTTCATTCCTGGGAACGCAAATGGCGCCGCGGGCTATCAACGTTGGGTCTTCGATCAGCAAACACAGCAATTCCGTCACATGATCAAGCGCGACGATCCCAACTACGTTCGATCCCGAAAGAACTCTCCCGCTCGCGATGCCGACAACCGCAGCCAAGAGTCAGTAAGCACTGAGTATCGCACTAGCCGTCCTGGTAGCACCAAGAACGGCTTCAGCGTTGCTAGCACTCGGGCCAATAGCTTCCGTTACCAGCCTCCGACTCCCACGTCAAACCCGACTAGCCAACGCCCTTCAAGACAGAGCAGTCCCAAGCGCAGCGACAGCATACCTCTTGAAGAAGCCAAAATCGCCCTCAGACGTCTGGCTAGGGAACACGAGGAAGCCGCAGCTGCGTTGGCTCGATCTCGCATGAAGCGCACCGACTCCAAAGGTCGCGTGGAGCAGATTGAGCGCGGTCGTGTTTCCGAACGGGTTGGTAATTAAAAGTGTTTTACATTGGGCGTTCGGCACAGCGACATGATGGCGCCCGGCTATTCTGCGACATGGAGCTTGGCATTCAACACGTGGTGGTACCGACTTCATGGTGCTACGACTCCCCTTTACAATCTTGTAATCTTTCTAGAGTCATGATTTCCTTTTCACGGCCTGAGGTTCAACGTGTTCAGTTCATTAGCGATTATCGGTCCTTGTACGGCTGAAGGCTAGGTGGAGTTCAGTTTAGGTTTCGTTTTAGACTTTTGGCGCTTCACTTCTTCTTCTTCTTCTGTACGGCGCATTACTACAAGGGCATCATGCACGGTATACCCAGATATGGTTCAAGCCCTTCGCGGCTCTGTTGTCAAGCTTCATAGACATTTTTTTGTAGGTA